TTGTGTTCCCTCTCTCGCTGTGTCTCTCTCTGTCAAATAAATAAATAAAATCTTAAAAAAAAAAAGAATAAACTCCAAATGAATCAGGAATCCAAATGTGAAAAATGAAAGAATTCAAGTACCAGAAAACACCATGGATGTGAATTCCTCTAAAACGCGGGTTCAGGGAAAGATTTTAAATCTAGGACTGAGGATCCAGAGGCATAAAAAAAAGATTGATGCATTCCTACATAAAAATTTTAAGAACTTCTGAATGGCAAAAACAATAAAGACAAATGACAGGTTGGGAGAAAGAAATTGCAACATAACACAAAATTCTAATATTTCTAATACCTGGAGAACTTTTTTAAAAAAGAAAAAAAAAACCCAAATGAAACAATCCCATTGAAAAACTGACAACTTGACTTCATAAAAAAGATATGAAAATGGCTAGTAAGCATATTCAAAGACGTTGACCTTCACTTAAATTCCAATAAAACTATACTGAGAGATTTTTTTCCCATCTGATTGGCCAAAATTCCAAAGCTTGACAGTACGTGCTGTCAATGAGTTTGTGGGGAAACTGGAATTCCTGTGTGTTGCTGATGGCATGCAAAACAGTGCAACCTCATGCGGAGGAGAATTTAGCAGTATCTTACAAAATTATGGGTGGGTTTAAAGAGGGATCTCTAATAATATGAAAATACATAGGCAGAACATTATTCATTACAGCCTTCTTACTAACCGCAGAAGTGTTGGAAGCTGCATAAATATCCAGAGTAGGCAATTGAAAAAACTATGGCACGTCCACACAATGTAGTGTTGTGCAGCTTTAAAAAACATTATTGGTTCAGTTTTCACAATTGGAATATGGATCTAGATTAGATAAAATTATTGTATTGATGTTAAAAGTACTAGCATGGATAACTATGTTGTGATGTAAGAGAATATCTCTGTTCTTAGGAAATACACACTGAAGTATTTAAGGATAAAGGACTGTCGTGTGTACATACACAAATATATACATACACACATATATATATACAGAGGGGAGGTGGAAGCAGGGCAGAGGAGGAGGGAAGAAAAGAAGGTAAAGATGTTAATGATAAATGAACCTGGGTAAAGGATATATGGGTATTTTGCACTATTGTTTTTGCAACTTTTCCTGTAAGCTTTAAATTATTTTATTATAAGAATTTAAAATTAAAAAAACCGATGGGATTTACTAGTTATGAATGTGGGAAGAAAAGGGAAGCAAGTCCTTGTCCAGTGATAATGGCCCTGAGGTGGGAGCAGGAGGGTGACACAGTGTATAGCTAATGAGATGCGCTGAATTGATCGTACCTCATCTTGCACAAGAGCTGCAGATTCATTCCCATGCTTTTTTCACTATGCGTGTGGTTGACCAAGGCTCCTTCCTGCAGTGACTGAAGGAAGACCTTTCGTGTGGCAGCTTCCTTTATGGAAAGTCCTGTTTTCAGTGTCTTCATCCCTGGGCTTGGTTTTGTGTAGGCATATACCTTCTGCTCCAAATGAGGGATCATTTTCCCCAAATCTGCCGGTTTTAGCCCATTGCTTCAGGGAGCATCTTTGTAATTAATGCATGTTCTGGTTAATACAAATGTACAGGTATCCTGGTGGCATTTAGTCTCACAGTGTTTTGGAATTATTTCACAATTTGTATCTTCCTTGGTGCTTATGACAGACCTCTATAGCAGGGCAAAATTGATGGTCAAATAAATGAAATCTGGAGGGTTAACTGGGTTAACTGGTTTGAGCAGCAATGAATTAAAAGGGAAAAATTAGTCTAATTTTAGAATTGTTGAATATGAAATAACAGAAGGGCTGTTAGATGTTGGGGACTGGTCTTCAGAAAGCCTAGTTTTTTTTGTTTTGTTTTTTAGATTTAGCTGATATGCTGGGAATTAGGTACCCAAAAGGCATTCGCTTGACACCTCTAGTGTGTGATAGAGTTTATGTACCACCCAGTGACTATAGGTATACATCTGAAAGCTCCCCTAACCCCAGGCCCTAGCAAACCTCAGAGGACCTCAGCTCCAGCCCACATCCAGTGTCTTCATGCACTATTAAATCAGCAGGAGCTGCTACCCCTAGAGACCCAAAACATTCCAGTGTCCTTACTGTTCCCTAGCTTCTCTGCCCTCCCTGACTCCAAAAATGACCCAAATGCCTCTCTGGTAAATCCCACCTGGCGCTTATCATACCTCTACATTGAAGTACTTTATACTTCAGTAGGCTCAGGGGAGCAGTAGGAGAGGTAACTAGATCATGTGGGGTTGGACTCTAGAAGATCATTTGCTCATGGAATAATGGCATCTGACTCAAAAGATCCAATGTATCAGATCTAGAAGCGAGCGATCCAGCTCCACTGTCTTAGGACCTTTCCCTTGCTTTCCGTGATCCTGCAGAGAAAACTGCTGCCTCTGGGTGGTAGTCAGCACTCAGTAAAACCAGCTCTGTCAGCTTGCTGAGCCATGAGCCGTATTCACACCTTTGCTGATAGTGGAGTTGGCAAGTCCCTGACATACTTAATACTTAAGGTGAAAACTATCCTTAGGATAGTCCAGATTGAGATTTTGTCCTTCATGCTATTAAATTACTTAAACAAGGAGGCCATTAAACAGGTAGTACTAATGCCTTGGCAGCCTACATAAACAACCCCAAACCTAAGTCTGTCAATGCCTCAAAGTTAAGGAATTGAAACATAAGGGCAAACAACCACAAATATCCATTGGCTTTCCCCTATAAGGCAACTTTAAGCTATAGCCAATGAAATACTTTCTTTGCTTTGCTTCCTATGTTTATAAGTGGCCGCTACCTACTGTGGGTGGAGGGCTGCTAGCCACTTCTGGTTTGGTACTGTCTGATGGGAATTGATTTTTGCTCAAACTCTTAACATTTTTAATACGCCTCAGTTTGTCTTTTAATAATGCTTTTCAACAGAGATTCTCACAGTATTATTTAACACAGTATCACTTAACATCAAAATCACCTGGGGAACTTGTTTAAAATGTATTTGTGGATGTCCACAGGGAATCTTCATTTTACGCAGCCCCTCAGATGATAATCACATAAATCTCAGGAATGATAGCTCCATTGTGGGAAACATGCGGCTTCACCAGAACACCCATTCAAACATTGGAACAGATCCTGAAGTTTACCCCCACCAGCCCAAAGCAGGTATGGCCCTAAGAAGGAACAGCAAGGCATGACTTTCCACAGCAAAGAGTTATTTTACTCCTTTCAGGTTGTAGCCATAACATGTGAATCTCTTCAACAATACAGGATACTTACATCCTGATCTCTCCCAAGAAAAATACTTTGATTTTGATTTTTTTTTTTATTTGTCAGAAATCCATTCACTCTGTCTCAGGGCTCACTGTAATGCCCAGCTTAATAAATGTGCTTAAGAAAGATTTCTTCAGTGAATCCGTGGTGGCCATCCCTCCCCAATTTTCTTGGTTGCCATTGCTTTACTCCACTTTAATGTCCCCATAATGGGTGAGGAGGGTGAAGCACTTTCTTTTGGGTGTCCCAAGGGTGCAGCTCAATGGAAAAATGCTTGAATTCTGATGTAGATGAGGTTGTGCTTATCCCTGACTAGGTGCTGGGCTGGATGTGGACAGCACAGCAAAGTAGGTGTGATGTAGCTGGGAGAGTCTGAGTGTCACAGAGGGTTTGTTAGGAACTCTTCAATGGAACCATATCTGTAAGTTCTGAGATCTGTATCCGTGAAAGATCTTTAACAGTATCCTTTTATGTAAACTGGTAGATCTTTGTTCTACATAACTATAGAAGAGGACTTGGAGGGTATCAAGGGCATTGATGGGGAGACCACTGAAATGATATAGGAGAGTTTGGGAAAGAGCACAGCTTTTGCAACTGGGAATCAGTCCCAGTCCAGAAGTCGAGTTCAACAGTAGACTGGATTCTAGATAGTTCAGATCTCTATTCAAGAAAAAACCCCTTTCCTTTTGCCTTCTTTTGAATGAGGTGTTGTTTCCTCTTATTTTACCTTGGATTCTTAGTAAAATATCTTAAGATGTCATTCTTTTGTGCCTGACTAAAGTAAAGGGATGTCTTGATTTGTTGAAGGAAAAAGAAGGTAAGGGGGAGGAAGATAAGGGAGGGGAAGAGTGAGTGCAAGGCCATTTGTAGATTTGGCTATCACTCTGTTGGGAGAAGCCATCACAAAGGGCATGTATGCTTTATTATGCCGGAGTCCAGCTCCAGCCGGGGTGGGTCTCTCGTAGGAAAGGACGGCACCGGCCAATGAGGAGACACAGACACGGGATCAGGTTGCAAGCGTCTCCTCCTGACAGCCTCGGAGGAACTATATTTATATGTTAGGATATTTTTGTTTTTCCAAATCTTAGATCATTTTTTGGATCACAGCCATAGCCTTCTTTCATTTTTCCTTTGTAATGATTAACATGACCTTTATTGATTTCTGCTTATTGGCTTTCGCTAAAACTAAAAAACAGTACGCAAAGAGAAAGGTGCTAGACAGAGCGTGACCGTCTTGTTATTTTGTTCTATAGAAACTAATTCTTCGTGGAATTAGTTTCATTATGATTGCTTAGATAGGCGTAACTAAGATGAGTAGTCACTTTATCATGAAACCCCAGAAATATTCCCACAATTATAAAGATTGCCATAAACAAAATGAAAGAGAATAGCAGGAGCCAGCTGTGGAGTCTCCTGTTTTCAGGATCGTCCCCCATACTTGGACCTTGTCAAACAGCATGAGTAGCTTGGCTCGTGCCATTATTACGCAAAGATAGCAAAAATAATAATTCTTATCCTTCTCCCCCCACTGGATCTTTTCTCAGTATTTAATTTAATTTTAATTCCAGTGAGTTAGCATACAGTGTTATATGAGTTTCAGTTGTATAATCTAGGGATTCAGTGATTCCATACAAAAATATAGAACGCTTCACGAATGTGCATGTTATCCTTGCACAGGGACCATGCTAATCTCTGTATTGCTCCAGTTTTAGTATAAGTGCTGTCAAAGTGAGCACTCTTCTCAGTTTTAGTATCTATTTCCTTTCCACACTTTTATCCAAACTGTTCCATTGTCCCACCCAACTTAATGTTTATATGGAGTTGACTCTAAGTGCCAACTAAGGGGAGATCCATTCCTAGACCACCACTTGTATAGATCATATCATTGTCAGAATAACTCTGTTCATACAGAACATACTGACACCTTATCTCAACATTGGATCTTTACTCAATACGTATTATGTTCTTGCGTTTCATTTTCCTTTCCTAATTTACTAAGTGTAGCAGCAAAAAAGAAAAAAAGAATTAGATTAACCCCAACTAGAGACAGATAGCAAAGACATGCAACTTTTCACTGAAGATGTTTAACAGAGATTTCAATTTTTTTTTTTAAGATTTTATTTATTTATTTGACAGAGAGCCAGAACCAGAGAGCACAAGTGGAGGGAATGGCAGAGGAGAGGGAGAAGCAGGCTCTGCACTGAGCAATGTGCCCGACGTGGGGCTCGATCCCAGATTCCTGGGATCATGACCTGAGCTGAAGGCAGATGCTGAACCATCTGAGCCACCCAGGCGCCCCTCAATTTTTTTTTATCTCTTAGTTTGGATGTGGAGAAATTGGAAAACTTGTACACTTTTGGTGGGAATGTAAAATGCAAAAAGTAAAAAAAAAAAAAGCAAAAAGTGCTTTGCAAGACAGTTTGGTGGCTCTTTAAAAAATGAGAACTAGAGTTACCATTATGACACAGCAATTCCACTTCTGGGTATAGACCCTAAAGAATTGAAAGCAGAGACTCAAAGAGATATTTGTACACCCATGTTCATAGCAGTGTTATTCACAATAGTCAAAAGGTGGAGGTAACCCAGGTGTCCATCAATGGATGAGTTGATAAAATGTGGTTTATTCATACAATGGGTTATTCAGCCTTAAAAAGGGAGGGAATTCTGACATGCTACAACACAGATGAAACCTGAAGACATTGTGCTAAGTGAAATAAAAGGACAAGTGCTATATGATTCCACTCACATGAGGTACCTAGAGTAGTCAGATTCATAGAGACAGAAAGTAGAAGGGTGGTTGCCAAGTGCCGGGAGCAGAAGGAATGGGGAGTTAGTGTTAGATGGGGGCAAAATTTCAGTTTTGGAAAAGGAAGAGCTCTATGGATGGATGGTGGTGTGGCTGAACAACAGTGTGAATGTGTTTAATGCTACTGGCCTTATCAAGTTAGAGAATCATTTGTGATATTGGTGAGATCTATTTCGGTGGCATAGCCGGGGGGTGGACGGGGTGGGGAGGGGAAAGCCAGATCCCAGGGGGCTTTGAATTCCGCTGTGAGTTCTCACAGATACAGCTACCCACTTGAAGATCAAATAGGCATCTCAAACTCTTTGTTTTCTCTCCACCATCCAAACCTCTTTTTTTTTTTTTCTCATCTTAGTGGATAGATCTTACATTCCCTCAGTTGCTCAGGCCAAAAAGCCTAGAGCCCGCTTTCTCATACCCCGAATCCAAACCATCAGTAAATTCTGTCGGTTCTATTTCAAACCACACACAGTCTAGCAGCTTCTTACTACCTCCAGCACTTTCAGGTCTGAGCCACCATCTTCTCTCTTGGATGACTTTAGCAGGGAGCTGCTTCTTTTCTTTCCATTCTATAGTCTCTTCATCATAAAAGAACTTTAGAAAATATAAATAAGATTATTTCACTTCTCTGTTCAGAACTTTCCAAAGGCTTCTCTTCTCGGAGTAAAAGTCAAAGACCTTACTTAGCTAACAGTTCTTTCTGGAGCATGTTGGCCAACATGCCAAGAATGCTCCCTAATCTTAGGGGCTGTGCTCTTGTTCCCTGTGCCTGGAACCCATTTCCTCAAGACCTTTTACGACTTTATCTCTCTCTTCCCGTGAATTTCTGTCTTGAGAGATCTTCCCTAAGTACTTGTGATATTTTAAAAACATGTCTGCGAATTCTTTGACATTCTTCCCATCAAGAGTTACAGTCTAATTCCTTTCCCCTTGAATATTGTCTGGCCATAGTGACTCACTTTTAACAAATAAAATATGAAGGCAGTGATGCTGTTACTCCTCAGGCTGGGTCATGAAAAACAGTGCTTGGGATGCTTGCCCTTGGGACCGAGCCATCATGCTGTGAGGAAGCCCGCGTCACAGACAGGCCACACATAGATACTCCAGCAACAATAGCCCTAACTGTGGTCCTCGCTGACAGCCAACATCAACCCTTCGATACGTGAGTGGGGAATCCTTCAGGATAACTCCAGCCCAAGCCTGTTTGTCTGCGACTACATGACAGACCCCGAAGGAGCGTTGCCTAGCTCAACACAGCCACTCCCAGAAAGATGAGAGATAAAATAAATGATTGCTGTTATTTTTTTAAATTGCTTTAAGTAATATTTTATTGACTGTTTACTATTTATTACAGGCATTTTATATACAAGAATTTGCCTGAACTCTATATCAGCCCTGGTTAAGTAGGCATTATTTATTTTTTATTGTTTTATTATTACTTTTATTTTCAGCAGACTCCTCGCCCAACATGGGCTTGACCTCATGACCCTGAGATTAAGAGTCACGTGCTCCATCGACTAAGTCAGCCAGATGCTTCAATGATTGCTGTTATTTTAAGCCACTAAGTTTGGGTGGTTTGTTTCTCCGCAATGGACACTTGAAGCACCACCCTGCCACAATTACTCTCCTTATCAATTGCTAGTCCCCGACCTTGATATGTTTTTCTTTATGGCACTTAGAGCTTTCTGACATATTTTATGTATACTTGTTCTCTCTCTCTCTTTTTTTTTTTTTCTGTTCTCCTCCCATTGCCCTGGAACACCAGCTGCATGAAAGTAGAACCTTTGTTTTGTTTGCTGATATATCCCCAGTGCCTAGAATGTAGTACCTGGTACAGAATTGTCACTTGAGCTCAAATTGTATGTGCTAAGTGGATGTAGCTGTGGCCCTTTGGTGTGGAAAAGGCATACAGTGTGAATGAGAAGGTGTTGGCGTGAAAAGATTTTATGTGACTTGGAAAATGCCATATAGGTGATATTTATTATTCTCATTCTTCTTTTTTTTTTTTTAAAGATTTTATTTATTTATTTGAGAGAGAGAGAGAGAAACAGCATGAGAGGGGAGAGGATCAGAGGGAAAAGCAGGCTCCCCACTGAGCCGGGAGCCCGGTGGGGGACTCGATCCCAGGATTCTGGGATCATGACCTGAGCGGAAGGCAGTCGCTTAACTATCTGAGCCGCCCAGGCACCCTATTCTCATTATTCTTGAAGATACTTCCACTTTATTACTAGTGGTACTTAATAATGCTATTTTAAAAATGTAGATAATGGAACTATTTTTCTTCCTTTCTTCTCGAATATTTTTAAAAATTAAAATTAATGTTCTGGTACGTTCATGGGATTGGGTTTATGCTGCCAAGTCTGTGAGGGTGGTTGACGTCAACATTTCTTCACATCATTTTTACAGGTTTGAGGTGAGATTTTGTTGGTATTGTTGTGGTTTTATGGTCAGAGTCCCAGGAAAGCCTATCCTGCCCTGCCAATTATCCCAGCTCCTGAGGGCTCCTAAGGAAACAATATGCTCAAAGAACAATAGCAAACTTTGAGCCAGAGTGCCACTTTGTTAGTATCTGAGTTACACCCAGTAACCTCCATCGTGGACTCACTGGTCAAAGGTTAGCTGGAAAATGGTCTAGGCCTACCCCCTCCCACTCTTAGTCCCAAATCTGAATTGAGGATCTGCGTGCTTAGCCATGGTGTATATATAGAAAGAGGGGTGACTCGTCCCAAAATGGGGACTCCAAGGAGACCATGAATAGAAGAGGAATAACCAGGGGCAGGCTGGAAGGAAGGGGGCTTCGTCCCTGGATGCTAACCCTTTAGGGCACACTGCCCTTCATAAAATATGCACCAGTGAACTCTTTAGGTTCTGACCAGTTGGACTGGTAGCTCTTTTTTCTTGGAGGGGGAGGGGGAGATAGAAAAGGGATTGGTTAAGACTAAATTATGGGGGGAGAGGACATGAGTGTTCTTTCTGCAGCGTGTGCCGCCCTTGTCATGGTTGTCATCAACATCTATTACCAGCGTACTTTTATTGAGTCATGATTTTAAACCCAGCACTATGATAGAGCCTTCTGAGGGTGTTTCTTAAGATGAATAGGACCTTTTATAAAATTTAAAAAGGACCCAGCCGTCCTGTTTGGGGTGGAGTTATGGTGAACGTGAATCGTGCAAAGCCAGGTATGAAAGGGATTGACAGAATTAGAATTATATGGCGTTCCAGGGGAGAGAAAATACTGTCTCTTGGTCGGGGAGATGTGAGGTGGCTTCATGAAGGGCATGGTATTTTATCTGAGCTTGAAGGACACCTGGAATTTTGACAGAAATGGGCAAGTTGGGCCTGCTGGAACCACAGAGTAGAGACTGAAAAAGCACAGCGTTTGGTAGAATGGTGAATTTCAAATGGACTGGAGTCAAATGGCCAGTAACTGTGGTGCCAGGACTAGCGGCCCCAGTGGGTTGGACTTTCTGTGGAATGTTCTTTCAAGCTCTACCATACCCCTTGCCACCTGCTTAGGTGTTCAGCTGAGATATTGCTGCAGGCATTCCTGATGCAAGTACCTAGAGTATGGAACCCCACCCAGCAGCATCCAAGGCCACGAGTGGGATGGCTTTGAGGACAATCAAGTCTGTCCCCAGAGCTAGATTCAACCCAGAATGTGGGGATGGTGGTTGAGGAAGTGGGGATGTGGCAGAGGAGTTTAGAAATTGCGATGCATGAGGGTTAAGGATTTTGAGGACCTGGAGGTGTCTGGGGCTCTCAGAGGGCATTCCTTTGGCATAGGCTATCAGCACAGGCCATAGATTCCTATGAGTTCACCTTTTTCACGTGAACCCTCTCCAGAAGGTCTGTAGATAAAGCTAATTTGCATTTGTTTATGTGGTTCTGTCTTTAGGGGAGAGTTTATGTCCCTCAGCAGTCTGTGCGGGGGGCCAAGAAGGGACTTGCAAATTACTTATGGAGTAATGAGAGGACTCCCTGGCCATGGTGACCCAAGACAATGAGGTCTGTGTTTTTCCAGCCTTCTATATGTGGAGCCTGTCCCTGGTTCATCCCATTCCCAGCACAAAGGCCCTGAGAGGGGCTGTCATCGCCCACAGGATAAAGCCTTCCCTCCAATAGTTTTCTTAGAGCTCCCTTCATGTCTTTGTTCCTCAGGCAGTAGATGAAGGGGTTCAGCATGGGTGTGACCACCATATACATCACTGAAGCCAGTGATTCCTTGTCAGCTGAGTGGGAGGATGAGGGATTCAGGTAGACCCCTGTGATGGTCCCACAGAAGAGAAGGACTACAGTGAGGTAAGAGCCACAGGTGGAAAAGGCCTTTTGTTTGCCCCTGGCAGATGGGACCTTGAGCACAGCAGACACAATGTGGGTGTAGGACACAAGAATGCTGAGAAAGGGGATGAGAACAATCAAGCCCCCCACCAGCAGAATCATGAGCTGGTTGAGCTGGGTGTTAGAACAGGAGAGCTGGAGCAGGGGAATAAGGTCACAAAAGAAGTAAGGGATGATGTTGCTGGCACAGAACTCCAGTCGAGCCATGAGGACAGTGTGTAGCAGGGAGTGGAGGCTGGCAATGAGCCAGGAGCTCCCCAGCATCAGGGCACAGATTTGCAGACTCATCATGGTGGAGTAGTGCAGTGGGTGACAGATGGCCACGTAGCGGTCATAAGCCATTGCTGTCAGGAGAAAGTTGTCCATGTTGGCAAGCAAAATGCAGAAGTAGATCTGGGCTAAGCAGCCACCATAGGAAATGGACCAAGTCTGCATCTGGATGTTCACAAGCATCTTGGGGACTGTGGCAGAGATGAAGCAGAAATCCACCAGGGAACGGTTGCTGAGGAAGAAGTACATGGGCGTGTGGAGGTGGGAGTCTGAGCCAATGGCCAGGATGATGAGCAAGTTTCCTGCTGCCCCGGCCAGGTACATGACAAGGAAGAGCCCAAAGATCAGCTCCTGCCTTTCAGGCTGGCTGGAGAGCCCTAGGAGGATGAACTCAGAGGCGCTTGTCTGGTTTTCTCCCTCCATGATTGGCTGGTCCTGCTGAGAGATCCAGAGCAGGCACAGGCTATAGGGAATAGGGGGTGGCACCCATGCCCCCCTTCTTCCCTCATACAACCCCTCAACTCACATCCGGCTAACTGACATCTCTCTGTTCATTTGGTATGAAATCCAAAGAAGGCTCTCTATCTACCAAAGGAAAAGCTTCAACCAGGGAGTCTTCTGGCCCCAACAAACCCCAAAGTCAGAGTTTTAATTATTTCACTACCAAAATGCTCTGATCCCAAACCTGCAAAGCCCCATCTGCCATCCCTCTAAGGAGAATCCTTGTGACATATGGCCAGGGACTCAGTGGTGCTAACAAACAAGGAGTGCTTAGGGTGTTTTGCCCCCCAGACTTCTGTTGTACTCTCATTCTTTGATTTGAGCAACTGATGTTGTTTCACTATTAAGTGAAGAATTATAGTTTCTTCTTACTCCCAAAAAGATTGCCACCTGAAGCCCCTTTCTCTACAGAATTCTGGAACCACAATGGCACATATATAGAACCAGGGGGTATTATTTGTACATACCCTCCTTCCCCTCAAATACTTTGTCTTCCTTTGTTCCCCCAGTCACGTATGGCCCAGGACTTAGGGTGGTCCAGCTGCCGCTTATCACGGGCTCTGGGTTACCTTGGTCCTTGTGATAATGATGTGGATGGAGTACGTCAGGACAAACCTGGACAGAAGAGCCTGCTGACTGGGACAGCTCAGCCAGCCCTTCTGTCTGGGCTTATCCAGGAAAGGACTTGCCTCTGGAGGGTAAGAGTTGTCCCTGCAGGTGACAAAGAGAAACTACAAGTGTAACATTGCCCAAAGGAATGGAATGGGGGAAAAGAAAACAATAGGACCGCAGAAACTGGACTCCAGAAACTGGAGTTCATGATAGTTCAGTGTGAGCTCAGCTGAAGTTCCATTAGATATAATATCAATTATTTTCCACTGCTTCACAAGACGTAGTTGGGATTTGGGTCCTGTGAGAATGTAAATCACAAAGAGGGAGGGGGGGAAGGAAGAACTTGAGTCAGTGTGCTGAGCAGGGATGGGGGAAGAGCTGACGGGGGAAATCAGTCTGGAAAAGCCATGGGGGCAGGGTTATGACCCACCAGGAACTGGGCAGGGAGTGACAACGGGAAAACCGTCTTGGGCGGTTGCCTTTGTCCACCCCACCATTTTGCTGAGGTGGAACCTGCTTGGAGCAAAGAAACTTACCAGTGCAGGTGGGGAGGGTAAAGGAGGGATGGAGATTTTGGCTATGCTGCAGATCCCAGTTGAGTTCTCGGCCTGTTCCTTAGTGTGGAAGATAAACGTGTTCCTTCAATTTCACTGCTTTGATTTTCTCCAAAAGACCAAAAAAGTGCTACCAGGTGAACTTAGCCTTGGGGCTTCTGTGTAAATGGGTCAGGGCTTCCTGGAGTGGCCAGCGCTGGGGCAGGAGAAGGGGCATGTGGAGCACGTGGGATGGGGCAGGGACGTGGGGGGAGAGGATCGCCTGTACTGGGAGAGATACATTTTGAGACGGGGAGCTGCGGCATGTGTAGTGGCAAAAGCTCTGTCCCTTCCTTGACTAGTACTCCTTTCCAACCAGGGTGACACCATCCTCTTTTCCTTCCAATCCTCCACTTCCCCGGAGATGTGGGAGAAGAAAAATTTCTTGTTACTACTTCCCACTTGTTAGGAAAGTACTCTTCCCAAGTACTGCCTATTTGAAGAACACCCAAGCTAAGAGAGTCTAACTTGAGACAAAAAGGATTTTTCTCCTGGCTTCTGGATCATTCCTGTCAACATCCAGACATCACCCAGCTTTGAAAATCCACCCTTGGCCCACATTCCCCTCTGGCTGTCAGCTCACTTCTCTACTCCCCCTTTCCAGAAAAGTCCTCAAACTATGTCCGGTATGCAAACCGTAGTTCCCTTCTTCCTGTTTGCTCATGAAGCCGCCTTCTGAGGCTTCCCCACAATCCATGAAACTTACCTGGTCAAAGCCACCATTGCCACATCTGTGGTTGGTCCTCAGGCTCCATCTTACTAAAACCAACAAGCTGCAGTTGGCACATCCACCTTCTGGAAACACATTCCCCACTGGGTTCAGAGCGCAGTTTTGTTGTGGCACCTTTCCTGCCTCACTGGTTTCTTGCCCTCGGTCCTCCTCATTTTCTGACCAATCATATCATAAGCTCATGAGGGCAGGAGCTTTATTTTTATGTATTGCTATATCCCCAGTTTCTAGAACCATGCCTGGACTAAAGGAGACACTCAATGATTTTATGCTGTTGTTGAATGAAGGGATAACTGCTCTTAATGTTCCCTTTCATGACCATACATCTTTGAGATTGGGTGAGACCTTAAATATAGTCCTTCTTCACCTGATATCAACTTCGTGTCTCCCAAATGTCACTCACATTTACTTATCACCTGTATTATTGTTTCGTTAATACTCTTATTTAACTCACTGATTTTGTTAATTGAAATTCATTTATTAAAATGAAAATTTATGCTCCATGATACATAAGAAAACAGTATCACTTACTGAATTTTAGCTAGACACCATTACTTGCAGAGAGTTCTCAGTCTGAAACCTACTTTTCCTTGGTTAAAAAAGGAGAATGTAAAGTCCCAGGGAGGAGTTGGGAAACAGCACCTGAGGATTTCTCTGAGAGGGAGTCAGAAGGGTTGAGGGAGAACTCAAAAAGGAATCACTTTCTCAGCAAGTGATTTGATGCTACTTGTCTCCATCTTTGTAAACCACCTAATGCCACTACTCAGACCCCCGTAGGTACAGGCTCTACACTGCACTAACCCATACATACCTGGACTCAGACACCTATTTGTTGAGATCTGATCCTTAGCCAGCCAGCGCACAGACTGGCCTTGTGTTCTACTTCAGCAGCAGTCCTGCATCTCTCTCTCTGGTGACCACCACAACTCTGGGGTTTGTGTTGGCTTGAATACGGGACCTGTTCTGTGAGAGCCCAAGGGGTGGAGAAAATGCTTGTCATTGACTTTGGAGTCCTCATGTTTAATTTTGCCCAGTGATTGAGCCATAATTAGCTCTGCTTAAATAATTTAGAAGGGGAAACAAGTTAAAATGTAGATAATAAAACTAAAATCAAATGACTCAGAAAAAGAAAAGTTATTTAAGCAGAAATCTGATAATTGATTCTTTGAAAAAGAGTTAATGAGCAATATCAGTTTTGATAAACAAATGAGAATGAAAATGAGAATGAGGTCAGGATTTGGAAAATTTAATAGCTAGTACAAAAGATTTATATTTAAGTTGACTATTATTTTCAATTAGAGGCTAATACATCTTTTTTTTTAAAATTCTTTTTTCTTTTTAGATTTTATTTATTTATTTGAGAGAGAGAGCACAAGCAGGGTTGAGGGGCAGGGGGAGAGAGAGAAGCAGACTCCCCAGGGAGCCGGGAGCCTGATGTGGGGCTCGATCCCAGGACCCCCGGGATCATGACCTGAGCTGAAGGCAGATGCTTAACCAACTGAGCCACCCAGGCACCCTAGAGGCTAACACATCTTATCAAATAAAATAGATGACTACTCACAAATATGCTCAATAGCCCCCCAAATGCAAAAAGAATTAGCATGAATATAACACTAATGGAGAAAGAAATACAAACTTATTAAACAGTCTGACTCCAATGAAGAAAATATTCCAACCCTCTAAGGACCAATTAGTTCAATAATAAAAGTATAAAAACAGAAAATTATGACATAGTAATAATCTGTAAAATGGATTAATAATATCTGCATACAGGGGTTGTTATGAACATTAAATGAGGAAATACCCATAATGTGCATAGAACAGCAGTGTTGCCCACAGTTGGCGCCCACTTAACTTGGCTATTGTTATTCTGTTATTATTCTTCAGTTCATTTTTAGAGGCAAATATGATTTTAAACTCGAACTAAACAAGATAATGAAAGGAATATTTTAGACCAATTTTGTTTACAGACATAGATGCAAATGCCCCAAGTAAAAAAATGTGCAAGCCAAGAAAACAATGCATTAAAGGAATTATCTGTCAAATTCAAGGAAATCCATTACCTAGTTTAACACAAACAAAATACCAACTACTGTAATGAGATCCAGATAAATTTGTCAAAACCTTATAGATTAGAACTCTGAAAACAGTAGTAATGCTTTTTTTCTTAATATGATAAGCGGTGTATTTAAAAACAAAGGTCAACATCATGTTTTTTGAAGACTTATACTTTTTCCCTAAAAAGAAGAACAAAATATGGGTATTCTCTGTTTTCATTCCTTATTTAATATCTTGCTAGAAATGCTGGTGATGGCTATCTGAAAAGAAAAAAGAAATAAAAACATAACTTTTTGCAAAATATCTATCATAGCTAAGCTATTAAAAGAAATGAAGTCGGGCGCCTGGGTGGCTCAGTTGGTTAGGCGACTGCCTTCGGCTCAGGTCATGATCCTGGAGCCCCGGGATCGAGTCCAGCATCGGGCTCCCTGCTCGGCGGGGAGTCTGCTTCTCCCTCTGACCCTCCCCCCTCTCATGTGCTCTCTCTCTCATTCTCTGTCTCTCAAATAAATAAATAAAATCTTTAAAAAAATAAAATAAAAAAAAAAAAAAAAGAAATGAAGTCACTGCTAAAAATAAAGTTAGCTGAGCAGAGTTGTAGAGTGTAATGTTACACAAAAATTAGTAAATTCCTTACTAATAGATCAACAGTAAACCAACTGAGCCACCCAGGCGCCCTAAACATTAGTTTTTAAATTCTACCCCAGAGTCTATATCTTTGCAACTATGATGTATCAATGCAATGGAATATTATACAGATACTAAAAATGAAAAAAATGTGTTGATTTCTGGATATTTGTCTATGACATAGACTTTAAAAGCTGAACATAAAGTAGCAGGTACATACAGATGACATCTATGTACATCTGACAACAAAAATATGTTAATTTGGGGGCGCCTGGGTGGCTCAGTCGTTAAGCGGCTGCCTT